ATGCAACTTGTGGAAAAAAAAACACAAGAGTTCCACCTTGCAACCCTCATTTATGAGAATAAGCCTGCTTTTAAAGTCACTGTAAACTGATCTCAGAGTTTGTCCCAGTGAGTTTCATTTGTCCCTTATAAAGCTTCCCTTATAGTTCTAACTAAGCCTGTACAGGAGCCATGCTTATTTATATAGAGCCATAGACGTAGATACATACACACAAATACATGGTCAAAGCAGTCAGCATAAAGTAGATTCCCAGCAGATCTTCCCAAATCTTCAAGTGAGCAGATTTAATCTGTAAAAATTTCTGGTAATTTTTTTTTTAGTTAGTTGTTCAGTTGCCAGGTTGCACTTGGGTTACTGGCATATGCTGGCAATCAGTTTCCTGTGCGTCTCATACATCAAAATAGTACAGCTGGACACCAGCCCATGTTCCATTACTTTACAAAAGACCCACATGAGCACTCCTTACATTAACAGTATTTCTCAGAGATGTATTAGCCATATCAAAATATATTGCCCAGAAGTATGTTTTATCTTACCTAATATTTTGATTCCCTTTCCTTCGATTGTACTTCAAATCAGAGAAGCCTGCTTTCTTAGGAAAGAAAAGAGAAACAATAAAAATACCTGATATCTCATCTGAAAAGCATGGAATCGGTGCCAAAGATGTTAATTTTTACCAGTGTCTATGACATCTGTTTTGTGGGAAAGAGAAATCACTAGGATAAATTTTATTATCAAAACATAACAAAGCCTAGGAATTTGAAATGAGGTTTTGTCCTTTTTTCTTTCCTTTTGTAGCCATGAGTGTTATCAAACTATTTCACTGGTGAAAAGAAAATCTGGTACCAAGATAGCAAAGCTGAAAAAATGGATGCTTTGAATTTAAGGGGAAGTATGTTGCTCCGCTGTATTTATGCATATTTATAAATGTAAGTCCTGTGCTGACAGTGGACTAAAAATTACAAATAAGCTGTCACAGTCAAAATGATCAAACAGACTAGAATGTGTCCCTCTGATATAAGCGGCAAGGTCTTTCCCAGCCAAACTTTGCAAGGCATGCACACTGGAACCAGGGGCCATAAGTCCTGTTCACAATAACGCTGATGCTAAGAGAATTGCCTAAATTGCCTGATGTGATTTAAGAAAAGATTTAAAATGCCTCGTGCTTCCATTTAAAGCAGTGTTACAGTTCTGGTTCTCTGGACAGGGCTGGGATACCTGTGAAAGCACGAGCCACCTTGCCAGGGTGCATCCAGAGATGTCTGTAAAGGTGAGAAGGGCAGGTGTGGAAACTACCCAGCAAACGGTTTTATATTTCCTCCTCCTGACACGGAGCATTAGAAAACTTTGGAAAAGTCCTGAATGGCTTTGTCATTGATACATGATGGATCTTAAATATGTATGTCCAGCTCAAAGAGAGTAGCAAGCTTTAAAATATGAAAAGGTTGGTGTGTTTTTCTTCCCTGTTAGGGCAAAAGTGCATCAGTTAGATAGCAGAAGTATGTAATATATTTATATGTGTAATTCTACATATACGTGTGTCACCTTTCCTAAGAACTGGAAGGGAATAGAAGGAAGAATGGCAGCACCATCTCCTGGCAGATCTAAGAAATGGGGACCACTTTGTGTCTGAGAGTAGGGACAAGCAATTTCTTTGTGGGTTTTAAAAAGCCTGTAACAGGAAGTAATTTCACAAGAGCGCATTCCCTCCCTTGGAAGATTAACTTTGATATGCTCCGGGGAAAAAAAAGCATTATGTGTGATTATAATTATGGGGAACACACACTCACAATTATGAAGAACAAATTCAGGTTGTTTCTCTCTTGAAAAAAGCTCCCAGGTTGGCCCTTCTGTTTTCCTTTAGATTGCAGCAATAGCAGATCTCCCAAGCAGCACGGCAGGTAGGGTCGGCAAGTTGCAGTTATTAGTGGAGTCTTGGAAGACCGTAGAAGACCACAAAAGATCCCTGTAGCCAGAAAATAATTGAATATGTTAATTTCAAGAGTTAAAGCCAAGTGTCTGTCTTGCTGAGTAGGTAGGGGAACTAGTGGGGAAAGACTATTAATGCTGTGAAGTGCTGGGCCGCTCCTGTGGAAGGCTGTAATGCGTGGTTAGGCAGTGACACCAGGCCTCACAGCACTAAGGGAGGGTCAGGCCTTTGGAGGAATGAAAGGGTGTATGGGGAAAAAATATCTGTGGAGATAAAAGAGAGGAGACTGTCAGACAACTTGCTGAGAGACAACTGTAGAAGAGGAGAGGGGAACCAAGAAGGAAAAGGAGAAGAGAGGGATTCTACAGAAACTCCTACATTTTTTTCATGTGCAGTACAGAATTGGCATGTCACAAGAGTCCAGATCTCATTTATCAGAACCATCTCGATCAGCATGAGGGAGATAACCTAACCTCGGCCATAAAGACGTGAGTATCCCAGTCTTCTGGAGTCTGTTAACTCTTGTGGGTCTGTTCTTGTCATCAGGTCCAATTTTCCTGTGTATTAAATAAACACAAAGCCCTCTTTGCGTCACACAAACACGACCGATGGTTTGCTGGTTTTGTTACTGTTATTTGTTTGCTTGTTTTTTTTTTTTTTGTTTGTTTGTTTGTTTTTTTGGGGGTAGGGGAGATTATTTTGCTTTCAGAATCTCCCAAGAGCTTTTAAAGACTTTCTTTTGTAGATATTGAAAGTCGTAGTAGAGGATACTTACGAAATCACTCATTCCACCCTCCTCCCAGAGGAAGCACACTCCTTATAAGACACCACACTTCCCAGGACTTTGCCCAATTTAGATTCAAAAGCCGCACACAGCCAGGGTTCCAGTGATTCCCATGGGAAAAGATGCAGCTTTACGCAGCCCACGGTCTGGCGCATGGGTGGGGTTGGGTTCTGCTTATCTCGTTAGCTCAGAACCAAGATCAGGCCTTTTGCCTTTGGGGCATCATTTACTATTCAAACATTCAAAAAAACAAAGGTAATCCTTAATCGTCCTCCAGGGCCTGACGCAAAATCTAGCTTCCTTTCTAACCAAATTGTCCAATTGTATATTTTAGGAATCGCCCTAGTTGGTGGGATAATGACTTTCACTAAATACTTAATCCTAAAACTTCTTCTGAGCAGGGTCAGCTGTCCTGTTAGCTGTCTCTGCACTTCTCTAGCTTGTAATGCTAACAGAGGAAAAGACATTTTATATTAAATTTGTGTCTTCTGTAAGTCAGTGTACTGCATTTTTGCTATTCCGCACCAAAACACGTTAAATATTGTCTCCCGTTCATTTCTGATCACATCCTTGGGTATTTATCATTTCCTTGTGTAGACCTTAAATACATGAAGAACAATTCAAATTCCCTAATGGGGAAAGGTCCCAGACTGCTCTTGTACTGGACGCAAGATGATGTTTGTATAAATGAAAATAATAATAAATTGCACCCAGATATGCAATCAAACTACCCTACCAATAGAAAATAAGTGATTCTTATTAACATGGGATAAACAATAATGCCAAATCAATTACACTTTTCTCAATGACTACTTATATTTTATTATTATAGTGTTTGAATATCTTAATGTAATCCACACAACTGCTTTGTGCTAGACTTCATCAAAATACAGATCGCAGACAATCCATAACCCTAAAAATATTTACAATCAAACAACTTGTAATGTTAGGGTGTCCTTGTGAGATAAATAAATGGAAGAAAGAAACATATTGAGTAGGAAAACAAACTGATAACAGAAAAAGAAAGCTTTTACCTGGTTTTCTGTATCTTGCCTAGACAAGCTACAAATTAGTAAAAGATAAGAAATTCTACCCATCAATAAAAAAAATGGATCTGTACTGTGCTCCATAAATGATCTGAAAATAGGCATAAACAGTTTGCAGATAAAACTATTCCAAACAGTCCTATCTAAAGTTGACTCTGAAAAGTTGCAGAAAGATCCTGTAATATTAAATGGCATCTGATAAAACAGCAAATGAAAATGCCGAGCTATAACCTTCACCAAATACTAACAATGACGAACACTAGTTTCGTTGTCACTACTTAGGAAAGGAGATTTTGCAATCAGGCTGGAATTTCAGCTTGCTGAAATCTCAACTCTGTACTGAGTGGAGGTCAAAAATTAGGAAAGTCACTAAAATTAAGATACAAGCAGAGGAAAAGGATAAATACTATGGATGTAGTATATATTTAAAAATACAGAAGGAAGCAACAAGAATAAGCACAAATATGAAAAAATATTTCACACAAGACTAAACAAAATACAACCTTTAATTTGAACTAAAAACAAACAAAAAAAGCTTGGTGGGTAACGTATTGAAGGAAATACTTATGAAAGGTATAAAACTCAACAATAAATCCTTTCAAAGAGGATTTGAGGGAATTTCAATAATCTTAGTGTAAAAAGCCAGAAACTTTTTAGAAATTCTGAAACCCAGTGAGTTGGGTATAAAAGCAGCACTCAGAGATGATAAGGCCATAGTGGAAATCCTAAGAGAACTTCCTGTGTTTGTGCTCTACTGCTGAACACTTCATCATGGGTCTTCTCAAAAAATCCACTTCAAACTGAAATGTTGACTTTAAAAAGGTTTTTGAATTAAGAGTAGACAAAATGAACAATAACAGACTTGCAAGACTAGACAGTGTTCATCCAAGAAACTCAAGGATGCAATAACTGAAATTCTAACTGTGATGTAACTTCTTGCCTAAAACTTTCTTGGCATCTAAGGAGTGGATTGTATCAAATGTTACATCATACAAAAACTGATACCTGCACTACAGGTATTAGTAGCAACTAGAATTAATGCATACATGAGCAGGTAGGGGCAAAAACCCATAGGGTTTTTCTAGGGAAAAGTCAATACGGGTTTTGTCAACATTGCTTTTGTAAAGAGAAATCTTGTGTTCAAGCTTGGTATGGAATTTTCTGAAAATGTCAACAAGTGCTTGGATAAGGGAGATGGGAGAGATACAGTTTGCTTAGGTTTCTGAAAGAGTTTCAACACTTTTTTTTTTTTTTTTTTTTTAACCTAAGGCTCTTAAGGAGACTTAGCATGCATGGAATAAGAGAAAATCCTTGCATGGAGCAAAATGTGGTTACAAGATAGGAAACAGACTAAGTAAAGTAATTTTTCACAGTGAAAGTAAGTCACCAATAATCCTTCATATCTGTGTCCTTATATGTAAATAATTTGAATATGGAGGTGAAGAATGAAAAGACAAATCCTCCTCATACCACATTGTTCATGGAAGAAAAGAAGAGGTGTGGCTGAGAAGAATTACAAAAAGACCTTAAATACTCAGGGCTCAATTACCCACACTCACGCCCTTGCACATGGGAGACATCTTAATGGTTCTTGCAGGGGATCTGATGGAGTCCCACGCCCTTCTGAAGCCTCAGTGAGATACCCTGGGTCACCTGAAGTAGAGCTAGACACCTAGATCTGGGCAACTGAACTGGGCCTTCAGTGACTGGCAATAAAGTGATTTTCAGTGACGCAAGTGGGGAAAAATGTTCAAAATTATGAGTAATTATGACTGAGCGGACCCCTGCACTTCAGGAGTGTAATCTTGGAAATTTAATAGGTATATTTAGGACGACGGCAGCTCAGTGCCTAGCAGTATTCAACAATGTCTTAAACGTTAGAAATATTTAGGAAATACTTTGAGAACACACAGAATAGTTATGCCACTTTCTAAATCCAATGTATGTTTGTAACGTGAACACTGTATGCATTTTCAACGCTACCATCTCAAACAGCACATGCTAGAACTGGAAAAGTTCATAGAATAGTAGCCGAAAAGTGACACAAGGATGTCAGGTTGAAAGCAAAGAAAGTGATTCTTCCTGCATTGACTACACTGCGGAGCGCCCTACTGCAGGATGTTGCATGTACTGCAAGTTCACAGGGAGCAGAGAGTCATCTGGATGAATTTCTGGAGGATGTATACATTGCGAGCTGCCAAGCAAGATGCTACCCCTGATTTTGGGAATCAACAGATGTAAATTGTTGGAAACTCCAAGCATATTCCCAGGAGGCTTCACCAGCTGTTTATTATCTTCCGATCACTAGAGACAAAAACAAACAAAAACATGAGACAAACACTCGTTTTAAGCAGTATGGTTGTCCTTGTGAAAAAATGAGTAATTATATGCCATGGTTATGTAAGTGTTTCAGGTTAATTAACGTACAGTGTGGCAAGAAGCAGGGTAGGTGATATTTTTCTTCATTTCTGCCAAGTGCATCAGCTAAAAATAGAAGGCCAGGGCAGCATTAACTGGTGCACCACAGCATAGCCGTAACCCACACACCGCCTTCGTGCACCTTTATTAGCACAGCTGCTGTTTGCAAATATACAACCCACAGACCCATGCTAGTAGTGAGCACTGCAAACAACCCTCGGGAGCACACAAAACTAGAAAAGCCCTTCAGGTTCACCAAAAAGCACTAATACTATCTCCGAGGAGCCCTAAGGCAGGAGGGATGAGGTATTTGTGAGGGAGCGAGCGCGCTCCCGCCCCCCGGCCCCTCTCCCCGCCCTGCTCCCTAAGATGGCGGCGCCGCCCGCCCCACAATGCTCCGCGCGGGCTTCCGGCTACGAGCCCAGGATGGCGGCGGGACCCGGCGCGGCCTGAGGGGCCGTGAGGGGCTGGGTGCGAGGGGAGCCCGGCGGGGAGCCATGGGGCTCCGGCTGCGCCTGGGGCTGCTCCCTGCCCTGCTGCTGCTGCTGCTGGCGGCAACGGGCGAGCTGCAGGCGCTTGGGGCGCCCTCCGCAGAGGCAGCGCTACGGTAAGGGGCGGGCGGGACCGCGGGGTCGGGTCGGGGTCGGGGTCGGGGTTGGGGTTGGGGTTGGGTTGGGTCGGGGGGGGTGCGGGACCCGTCGGGCACACAGCGTGAGGGGCTGTGCCCAGCAGGGGCGTTGAGCACGGAGAGGGGCTCCAGATCGCTTGCTCCGACCGCCGGTGTCACCGCTGCGCCGTGTCCCCAAGCACTGGGTCTCCCTGAGCCTCTCCCTGAGCACCCCCAGGGACGGGCACGCCACCGCCTCCCCGTGTCACCCATCCCAGCGCCTGGCCACAGAAGCATCTCCTCGTTTCCAACCTGAACCTCCCCTGGCGCAACTTGAGGCCATTCCCTCTAGTCCTATCACTGGTTACCTGTGAGCAGAGGCCGACCCCCAGCTCCCCACCCCTTCCTTTCAGGTAGCTGCAGAGAGCAACAAGATCTGCCCTGAGCCTCCTCTTCTCCAGACCAAACACCCCCAGCTCCCTCAGCTGCTCCTCACAGGACTTGTGCTCCAGGCCCTTCACCAGCTTCGTAGCCCTTCTCTGGACACACTCCAGGGCCTTGACATCCTTCTTGTATCATCCCAAAACTGACCGACAGCACTTAGTGCAGCCCCACCAGAGCAGAGCTCAGGGGGACGATCACCTCCCTGCTCCTGCTGGCTGCACTGTTCCATAGCTGAAGGTGTCACTGATGCGTGGTGCTTGGGGCCTGTCGGCCTCTTTGGGGAGGTGATGACCGTGTTATCTTCATGCTGGTGGTCTGCTGAAGAGCTTTCCTTGCAGGAGTCTGCGTTATGCTAGAGCAGGATGATCAGGTAAAAGGCTGCTCTTCGTAGCTCTGGTTGAAGAGTCACCATTGCAGAGAGAGCCTGAAGCTGTTGGAGCTGGATGTGACTTCCAGAAAGCTGAACATAGCCTTCCTATTTTACTTCTGTAACCTTACTTTTGCACCTGAGCATTTATTTTAAGCTGCAAACTTCTGTCTGGTGAGCAAAAGGCTCTCTGAACTGGCAGACGTGTCTGTGAGAGGCAGCGGTTGCTTGTTACCCCGTCAGATGTGATGTCTCCAGGTGGTGCTGCCCACGGTGACTGCTTCAAGTCCCCTCTCTTTGTTTCTCTCTCTTTGACAGATATCATGTCAGTCATGCAGGCTGTACCTTGGTCCCACTCTCCCCCACCTCAGGCTGACTTTTTGTTCTGTGCAGGCCACAGCAATTAGTCACTGCAGGAAGCAGGTAGGGGTAGGAAGCAGTGGATGTTCCAGGAAGTGCGACAGAACACAACAAATGCAGCTTATCCCTCCAACTGCAGGCAGGCCTAGGGATTTCTTCAAGCAGAGTTTGCATTTTGGACCATGAGATTTCGTGCCTTCTAAGGGACCCACTTGAGCTTTATCTGATGCCTTTTGTATTTTTGGCCTCTGTACCACCACTGCCTGGACTAAGAGTTTGTCAGTTTTATTAAGTAATGCATGGAGGAAAATATCCTTTCTTCCGTTTGTTTCCGAACATTGTCTGTTTCTGTGGTTTCTGTTGCCAACAGTGGTGAATGTGGAGCACAATTATTCATTTCCTTCACGCTCTTCTTTCAAGTGGGAAAATCTCGGTCTGTGTAATAATTCTTAGTATGAGGAAAAAGTTCATGACTTAATTGGTCTTTGTTACCTTTGTGTGCGCACCTTCTGTTTGTGCTGGGTTTTTAGTTATTTGAGATACATGACTCGGACTGCAGGTAGTATTCGTGATACAAAGCTACCGTGGATTTACAGTGATGAAGTGTAGTGATGAAGTGCTTTTGGTTTTGTTTTCTTTCTGAGTAATTTTCTGGCCTCTCTGCTTGCTGTTGAATCATCACTCCAAGATAATTTTTTTTCAACCATGCTGAAATGCTTGTCACAAACATAGTGAGGATTTTTTTTTTCTTGTGGGTTTTTTCACACTTGCTCCACCCTGATTTTCTTGAAGGATTTTGTTGTTCTCTCCTTCAGTAAATTAAATCCATAGAAGCATTTTTTGAGGGAGCTTGTCTAAAATTTGTTAAAATAAGGGTATGCTTGATTAATAATGTTACTTATCCACACACTTCATCCTTTCAGACAGCAAATAAACAGCCACTGATTCCATACAGAGGAAGACTGACAGTTCCCTACTGTCTTCTTTAGCCACAAGTCAAGTAATTCACACTTTGCTGTTGTTATTGCCAGTGTGGCAGGGCAGGTGAGTGGATTTACGATTAAGCCCCTGTGTGGTACCTGGAGGCTTCTGGAAGTTGGTGCTGCTCTTACACCTTTCAGTCCACCAGGAGCAGCATTAGGAGTTGACCAGTTTTATCTGAAAAAGTGCTTTATAACTCTTGAGTTAATACATTCATGTTCTGTTGACTTATTGGTAATTTTATTGGTTTATTCTAAAGCCCCTTTTCTTGAGTCTTTAACTGGAGGCAGTTCTTTAGATTCATCCTGTCAAGACAAGCTTTTGGGAAACCTTAGCCTCCTCTGTGGTGAATGCAGAGGTGAATTATTCCTTTGGTACTGGCCTTTAGCATCCGTTCTTGGGGTCATCTTTGCAGCCTAGTTGTTTTACAGGCCCCTTTGATTATTTATCTGGGTTGTTTCTTTTCATTTTAATAAAAGCTGTTGCCATTATTAGCTTTATGTCTTTGACGAGCTGCACTTTGAAATCTTTTCTCCTCCTTTCCTGTGGTTTTACGTTCATCTTTTGCTAGAGTTCTGTCTTCCTAATCTCATAAACAGCTCAGTCTTCTAAGATACCTTCTAACATACCTTCTGATTTGTTCTGTTTAATCACAGAGGGTGAGTTTTCTGGGCTGAAATAATTGAGATTTCTGACCAGCAGTCTGTTTAATGAAGTTTCAAGGATTGCCATTTTATGGTTAAGAACTTGCTCGTCTCTTGGAAAGTTCATACTTTTTCTGCAAGGACGAAGGAGAGGGAAAAACAAATTAAGCAGTGAACTGAAAGAAATGCAGCTGTTACTATCTGGGGCAGGTAACATTTCTTACCCTATTTTAATACCCTTTCAAGCTAGACAGCTATTTTGGATGGAGCCAGCTTAGCAGTTTGTGTCCCGAAGCTGAAGTTCGGGTGTGTATCTCAGCACAGCACGTGGAGGAGAATCCGAGAGCACGAAGCCAAACAGCAGGGTGTTGCAGCGTGTGGTGCCAGCCCAGGGTGATGTGGGATTATTTCAGAGTCACTGCAGGCATTTCTGGATGCAGTGGTTTCCCCAGGCAGCACTACAGGCTAAGTAATAAAAATACAGTCTGCTGTTCACCTCAGTGGCTGACAGCAGCAGTAACTCATCTCAATTTCACTCTCCTGCTACTCGGGAACTTTTTGTGTGTGCAGAAACTCCAGCATGGCTTTCTGCTCTGAGATTGGAAGGGCTGAGAAGGGACACGCAGCCAGCTCAGCGCAGAGTTCTCCCAGCTGAACCTTAAAGTTACACCAGGATTTAATTATGCATTTAATAGTTGGTAGAGATTTATATCTGAGATAGAAGTTTATATTTAACATCTGCTATAAACAGGTTGATTTAATCAATCTTTTACCCACCAGATCTTAATAACTGCAGGAGTTTGCCCCTTTCCCAGATCAATCAAGGGCCGTCCTTTCTTAGGGATCTTACAGGATTCATGTGCCACTGTCCAGCTTGCTCGTTTGGGGGATTTTCTGCAACCCCAGTGGTTCTGCTGGCTGTCATCCTCGCAGGTATGTGACCGTGCTGCTGGTCAGCCTGCAGCTTGTCCACTTTTTGGCCCGTGTTGGTGTGATTCACGCCCTAATCTCCGTTCCCATTATCTGGCCTTGTCTTCCTGTGCAGCTGTTGATACGCACTAGTTGTTGGTGGTGTTTTTTCTCCTTGAAATTCACATTTTTATCCTACATTGCTCGTGGACTGGGGGCTGAGAGGAGAAGGCAGATCTTGCAGAGAGGAACCCATAGCGGCTACCTCCTCAGTTTTGACCCACAATTAATGCAGCGTTGAACAAGTACGTGGCATCCTTGCATTCCTGGATCTTATTTTTCATCTTTCAGGCTGTTGCTGAAGCTGCCAAGCTCTGCCCCTCGGTACTAGCGATGTGAATTTTGGAAGGCCCCATAGGAGCGAGTGCCAAGTCATATCCCAAAGGAGAAGCAACACAGCCAGGCAGGGAGAAGCGGCTTGGTCTCACCCAGGCAGCCCAGACTAGTAACTAGGCTCTACCTAGAATCAGCTCCAGTCAAACTCATCTTTTTTGGGGGGAAAACAGCAGGATTTTGTGGCGTGGAGTGTCTAAACTTAATAATGAGACAGTTTGGGGAGGGGCAGACAAATGATCTCTTTCCAGAGAAGGCTACATCCTGTGACTTGGCTCTCCGTGTCTGCAGGATGTACGAAAGCAGTGGGATTTTTTGGGGGTGGTTTTTTTTGGAGCATCACATCACATGATGCTGTTCTGGTTTAAGACGGGGCGGCTGCGTTGCCCTTGTTTCACTTTGAGTGTGAGGACGTTAGTCCAGGGGCCTTCCTTATTTCTGTAACGCCGATATTTGAGCAGTATTTTATTTTTTCTCCTCCAAAAAGTACTCTCTGCTTTCTCAGGTAAGATAGATGGAGTTATTAAACCAAGCAGATCAAGCAATAAATGCTGTTTCCTTGCTGGTCCCCAGTTAAGATGTGCTCGGTGAAGGAGAACAACGCCCAGGTTGGTGGTGGTTGAGGTAACACGTGGAAGCCATC